TTTCTTTCTTTCTTTCTTTCTTTCTTTCTTTCTTTCTTTCTTTCTTTCTTTCTTTCTTTTTCCTTCCTTCCTTCCTTCCTTCCTTCCTTCCTTTTTCTTTCTTTCTTTCTTTCTTTTAGTGTAAGCCCTACGCGCAACATGGAGCTTGAACTCACAACCCCGACATCGAGTCGCATGCTCTACTGATTGAGTCAGCCAGGCGCTCCAAAAGCACATGTCACTCTTTCATTCAGAGTCCATTTGTTTACTTGTTTAGTACCTAACATAAGTCCCACAAGAGCCGAGAGCTTCCGTTTTTATTCACTGTGGGATCCCCAGCACCTAGAGAAGAGGCTGACCACATCGAGACCCCCCGGGAGGGCCACCACCTACCCCTTCATCAGCTGTTTCAGGAGAACCTTCTCTGGGCCAGGCCCTGTGCCAAGCTTATCTTCCCCGGCTGAATCTCCTAAGGAACCCATGGGTTAGGCCTCCTCCACTCCCTGTCACAGGCTAGGGGCCTGTGGCTCAGAGGAAGCAACTTGTTCAGGGTTGCCCAGCCCATAGGGGCGGCAGTGGGAGTTCAGACCCTGGTTGGGCTGCCCTCCCGGTGCACCCCCGAGTGTGCCCTTGGCAGTGATGCCTAGGCAAAAAACGGGGCAGGGAAGCAGCCACCTCATGACTTGGTGGGCACTGAGTGAAGTGAATTGCCCTCCTTCCCTTTAACCTTTTTTATTAACGTGTCATGACTCCAAGTTAGCAGTTTACCTTGAGGATGAGTCCTCACCAGAGTAGATAGGACTCTGGGCCACACTCAAAGTTGCCAGGTTGGCAGGAAGTCCTAAGCTCAGGAGCCCCGGCCCCAGGCCCTCTGTCCTGCGCCCAGCAGCTCGTGCTGCCGCGTGCTGAGCCCTCCCTTGCCTCCTCAGCTGAGAACACCACCAACATCACCCAGGATGAGCAGTACAAGTGGCTGAGCTGTGACGGCCAGGAAGAGATGCTCAACCTGGGCTTCACCATCGGCTCCTTCGTGCTCAGTGCCACCACCCTGCCACTGGGGATCCTCATGGACCGCTTTGGCCCCCGGCCCACGCGGCTGGTCGGCAGGTGAGGCAGCTGGGCCCGTTGGGGGCTGGAAGGCGGGCTGCCACCACAGGGTGAGGAGAGGCTCAGAGTGTTCACCGGCAACTCCTCCCCCTGCCCTGGGTCTCCACAGCGCCAGCTTCGCTGCATCCTGCGCTCTCATGGCCCTGGCCTCTCGGGACACCAGAGGTGAGCTGTTTGGCCTCTCGTGTGCCCACAAGAAAAGAATGGGTGGATGCAGGTGGATCATCTGCCATCCCAGCTCCTCCCTTGGCCTTGCAACAGCTCCCCAAATGCCCTCACCCATCCCTCTCCCCTTCCCAGTTCTGTCTCCGTTGATATTCCTGGCGCTGTCCCTGAATGGCTTTGGTGGCATCTGCCTAACGTTCTCTTCACTCACGGTGAGTGTGACAGGTCCCACTTGGCAGCAGGGCACCCAGGAGTGGGGTGGGGGTAGAGGTGAGTGAGGGGGAGAGTGGATGAGGGAGGGGCCAGTGGCTGCAGAGCAAATGCTTGTGTGGGTCTGGAGCTGTGTAGGCTGCAGCTAAAGGTGGGTGTGAGGCTGTGCACGTGGGGATGCGACAGTGTGTGAGTGTGGGTGTCGGGCTGTGCGAGTGTTCCGAGCACATAATGCCTGCCCGACTGTGTTCTACACACTGGGGCCACGGCACAAACAGAACTGCCAACTTCCTCACCTTCCTGGAACTTCCGTTTGGGGGGTGTTGAGCGACCAGGCAACCCCCCCAAACAAGTAAACTCAGAAATAATGTCAGCAGTCATAAGTGCTGGAAAGAAAATAAAATTGGGTGTCGCGATGGATAGTGACAGGGAAGGAGCAGCTGGGGTGTGCATTTGCCACGTTGTGTATTGTGTGATGCTCTAGATGGGGAAGGGTGTGTGTCCGTGAATGTATCTGTGAGTGTATGAGGTTAAACCGTGTGAACTTGCCGGCGCTTGACTGTGCTGGACCTACAGAAACAGCTTTTCCCATGACTCCGCCTCTTACATATGTGTGTTTGGTGTGCGTGTTGCTCTGAGTGTGTATGTTTATAGATGTGAGTGAGCGAAAGGGTTAAAGGCTTCCGAGTGTGTGGTGGGGGAAGGGTTCCTGGCTGGGCCAGCCTCAGGCTGTTTATCCCTGACCGCCAAACTGGGTGTTTTTGGCTGAATTTCACCTCACCCAGCAGTCGCCTTTAATTCCAGCCTGGGACATTTCACAACTCTCTAAGGAAGCGGATCCCTTCCTCCCCGCCTCCCTGCGCAGCCCCTTCTCCACACTGCGCAACTTGGCTCGGGCCCTGAATCCCTTCCCTCCCTTGCCCTGCCCCGCGCTGCGGGGCGCCCAACCTCGGACCTTGCCCCGGCCTGCCTGGCGGTCTCTGCCCGCCGCCCCGCCGCTCCTCCCCCTGCCCCGCCGCCAGTAATCTCCAGCCAATAGCAGGGCCCGGCGCCCGCCCCGCCCCGCCCCCGCCCCCGCCCCGGGCCTCTGCCCTAGCCCGCCAGGACGGACCCAGCCGGCACGTCCAGTGCTGCCCAGCCCCTCGGCCCGGGTTAGCCAGGTCGGCCTCGCGCCCTGCCCCCTCGCGGGGGCGCCAAGGGTTCCGCCGCTCTCCGGCCCTGGCCCTGGCACTTTCCTCCTGCGTCCTTGGCGGCGCGCCTTGCAGATACTGGGTGTCAGGGAAACCTCTGCCCCAGTGAGAGTCAGCCTGGTCCCACCCCCTTTTCATAGCCACTTGGAAGGTGGTGGAGGACTCCGTTCTGCGTGTTTACCATCTTCCTTCCCCAAGGTATTTGACGTCCCCTTCTTGGCCTCGGTTACCCCCTTTGTAGAGAGGGTTGAAGTTTGGTATGGCATCTAAGGCCCTTCCCAGCTATGGGATCTGTTGACCTGGGGAGGATGGTGGGGCCAGAGGGGGGGTGTACACAAAGGGCACCGTGACTTTGCTTTCTCCTCCCCGGAGGACCTGGCTCAGGCGGGTGAGCAGAACATATGATCAGTTCTCTACTGGTGGGAATTCTGGGCCTGCTCTGGACGTCAGAGCCGCCTCTCCTGGACACCTGGCCTGCCCCTGCCCCTCATTTAGCTCCACCCTTACCTCCCTGGCACCTCCTATGACTTGTCCTGGCTCAGCAGACTTTGGTGTCACCAGGAGGGTTAATTCCAGAGCCAGCCATGGTCACAGCCTTGGGGCCTGGGAAAGAGCAAGGATCTCCAGAACAGGGGAGAAAGTCAGTAACGAGCTCTGTGAACTTGAGTACATTTCTCTCCCTCGCTGGGCCTCAGTTTTCTCATCTGTCAAAATGGGTTGCACTAGATCAGTTTTTCTTAAACACCCATTGCATGGGTTATTAAGAGGCGTCACCCAATAGAAGGGCTCCATTAACAACTAACTTTGGAAACCCCAGGGGGTTAAGCAAAATTGACAAATTTTTGTCTTTGAGGGCATGTCCGGGAACCTTTCAGATGCTAAAGTGCATTGGGAGTCTCTAGGAGGCTGTTGGCTAGTTTCCAACCGTGATTTTGCCTTCAGACTTTTCTGCTGCATCTCCCGGAGCTAGTGTTCCTGGAGCTCACTTTGAGGGCTGTGGGGCTGGATGCATCCAGGCTTTACCCCACGGGGCTGGGCAAGGGGTGCCCTGGGCGGCTGTGAGGGTCCCCCGGCTCACTAGGGTTGCTTCCCTCCCTCAGCTGCCCAACATGTTCGGGAGCCTGCGGTCCACGTTCATGGCCCTCATGATCGGCTCCTATGCCTCTTCTGCCATCACGTTCCCGGGAGTCAAGGTATTGGGACTGTTTGGGAGTGGGGGCAGTGAGGTCACTTGGGTTTTCTTTTTGCCTCGACACAAAAACTCGGCGGGGCTGGGTGAGTAGTGGCTGGCGTGTCTGAGGATCCTGTTCCTGCTGGTTAGAGGTCCGTCCCTACCACGCATGGGGCAAAGCACTGAAGTGTCATGGGGAGAGCCCGGACGTTGCTGTGGACCCACAGGTCTGACCTCCCTGCTTTGCCCCCTTCCCTTTACTGCTGCCCCAGGCCAAGCCTCCATCCTCTGTCCTGGGCTAGTTCAAGCCTTCCTAGCTGGTCTCCCTGCCTTTGACCTTCCCCCTCTTCATTCTGTCATTCACATGACTTCTATTTTTTTCTATTAAGATTTTTACTTATTCGAGAGAGAGAAAGCGAGAGACAGAGCACAAGTGGAAGGGGAGGGGCAAAGGGAGAGAAAGAAGCAGACTCCCCCCTGAGCAGGGAGCCGCCGGAGTGGGCGGGATTCCAGGACCCAGGGATCACGACCTGAGCCGAAGGCAGACATCTGCCCAACCAACCGAACCACCTAGGCAGCCCCTCACATGACTTCTAGAATGCTCTTAGTTGGAGGCCTGGCTCACTGACAGAATCAAGTCCAACTCCTTCAGGAATGCATTCAATGCCCTTGACCTCTCTGGCCTCACCCAGGCTTTCCTGCCACGACTCCTTGTCCTGCCCTGGAGAGACTGTTCGCCTTGGGTCCAGGGTCATGAACGTAGTCCATACCGGGCTGGAGCCTGGACAGGTCCGACTGGTGGAACTAGAACCAAAAGGCCTGAGTTCTAGCCTGGGGGCAAGCTTGGGACCTCATTTCTTCCTCTGATATCAAAGGACATCAAGGCGTGATTTCACCTGGGCCATCGCATACCCTTCAGATTCCACCTGGGGTAGTCACGTTTGTTAGTTTAGAAGGCACTTGCTAGGCATCCGGAAGGAGTTTGAGAGTGCGTTGGTGGGGGTGGCCATCAACTGTTCAGGTAGCACGAGGCATGGAGGGTGGCAGGTTCTCCCTTTTCTTTGAAGCGCTGTCCCGTTTGCAGGGAAGAAAGAGCATCCAGGCCCCAGGCTGAGGAGGAACAGAAATGCTCCCTGGCTGCACGGGAGCTCTGAGCCAGAGCCCGAGGGGACGGCAGATGTCAGTCATCCCAGGCAGGGAAGACAAGAGGAGGGACACCATCTCTGTGTACCTGGCTTCCCCGTTGGCACCGAATCCCAATCAATTCAGAACCTACTTGCCCTGGGGTGGGGAGGCCTTGGGCAGAGCCCTTGCATGTGCTCGCATACACACACACAGTTGTCCTGTGTACCTGGGAACACCTGTGCAAGGAGAGATAAGGCTTCTCAGATTGGGTTTGTCTTTCCCTCAGGGAATGTGCCAGGAAGGGGCAAGATAAACACAGTTAGGCCTGGGAAACCTAGAACATTAATTTTTCTCTTTTGTACATAAAATGAAATGGCATTTTTGTGTGAAAGCCAACATGCGCATGGACTCATAGGCACATTTGTGTGCCTCTTTTAGATAGTAATTGAGATTTCAAAGACCTTTTGTGCTTGTGGCCAGCAACTTCAGCTCCCTGTGGGAACTGTTTCAGACCTCGTTAGGGGGCTGGGGTTACAAAGGAAGAGGGTGGTGGTCTTCTGGGTCTGACTCTTCACTTCTGGCCTCAGCTTCCTCATCTGCAAATCAGGCACAAAGAATGGGGTAAAAGAAACCTTGTCTCGGGCCACTGGGGCCTGGGCTCGGCCTTGGGCTGGAAGATGTAGGGCCTGGCGGCCACCCCCATGGGCCTGCCCCCTCCTTCCACAGCTGATCTACGACGCCGGAGTGTCCTTCGTGGTCATCATGTTCACCTGGTCAGGCCTGGCCTGTCTCATCTTTCTGAACTGTGCCCTCAACTGGCCCGGCGAAGCCTTTCCGGCTCCTGAAGAAGTCAACTACACGTGAGTGGCTGTGTCAGGAGCGGGGCTCCCCTCCCTGTGGAGGGAGAGATGGGGGGGCGGCGGCAGTGGTTGTGCAATGCACAGAATCAGCTTTGGTGTCAGAGAGACCTGCATTTGCAGATGGCCTCTGTTTTCTCATCTGTACAATGGGCTTGATCCTCCCCACCCACAAGTGTTTGAATAGACGTGGCACCTAACAGGTGGTCAGAACAGGGTGACTGGTACTGGTAATATCCTTTCTGAGTTCGGAGGGTGGGATCAGAGTAGGAGGGATCCCAGCAAGGGTGCCGTGTGCCGTATGGTCCCAGGAGGGGGATACAAAGACTCAAACCCCCCACCCTTTATGTGGCAAGCTAAATGCCAACTTTTCCCCACGCCCTATCAGTTCAGTGGGGGTGGGGTGATGCTCCACAAGGAAGCACATAGGGTGCCGGTCAAAAGCTGATGTTTTTCCAGCGTCCTCTACAGGCCAGGCACTGTGCGTAGCTCTCATACCATTCTCAACAGTCCTATGATGCGGCTTCTGTTATTAATTCCGTTAATAACAAGGGCTCAGGGAACAAAGTGACTTTCCTAAAGTAGTACCACCGAAGGAGGGTGAGGTAAAGCTTGGAACCAGGCTCTCTGACTCCAGAGTCTGAATTCTTAATGCTGCCTCCATGGCAACAGCCCAGGTTGCCTCACGACTCACCCACCCTTCACTTACTGGGTGCCAAGCTGGCCCCTGGCCCGGGCTCTGAGTGACAGATGCAGTGGGCACATCAGTCAGTGCTAGGTCCTGGGGTGCTCAGCACCCCTGGGACCGACGAGGACAGACCTGGAGAGGCAGGCTGTTGAGGGCAGGGTCTGCATAGCTGGTCCCCACATGCCCTGGCCTGGCTGCCGGCAGGAAGAAGATCAAGCTCAGAGGGTTGGCCCTAGATCACAAGGTGACAGGTGACCGCTTCTACACCCATGTGACCATCGTGGGCCAGCGTCTGAGCCAGAAGGCCCCCAGCCTGGAGGAGGGGGCTGACGTCTTCATCTCATCCCAGGATGTTCGTGGCGCTTCAGAAAGCCCTCCTGAGAGTGAGTTGTCTGGTCAGGGAGGGTGGGCCCTCAGGCTCAGTGAGCACTCATCCTAAGCGCTCATTCTCTCCCCTTGTGTTCTCTCCACACCCCGTGATGTAGGTGGGCCACGCTCCCCATTTACAGAATGGGGGGAAATCAGAGCTCAGAGAATTCTGGAAGTTCAGACTCAGGGGTACTCTGCTGGATTCCTGGGTGAAGGAGGGAGGGAAGAGCTTCCAGAAGGGCAGGCTCTGCAGGCCTGTGGGGCAGTCGGAGCAACCCTCTGAACCGCTAGCTTCAGACCCTGACTGCTCCGTGAGCCCGCGGCCAGGCCCGGCCCTCCAACGCCCGGCCGGCCGGCTGGCTCCCCCTGCTGGCTGGACGAGGAGCTGCAGCCTCCTGCCTGGGCCACTTCCCAAGGTATCAATCAGCTCCCAGATTAGGGGAAGGTACACCCGCCTTGGAGTCAAGAGATGGGGGTTTGAGTCTGCAGGCCATGTGACCTGGGCAGGACCTGTAACCCTGCTCTGGCTTTCCTTATCTCTTAAACTAGCAGCAGTAACACCCACTGAACAGGGAAGTTAATCGTGAGGATTAAATGGTCCACGGATGTGGAAGCTCTGTTCCGGGCCCAGGGGTGTGCAGGTGTGAGGGCGTTACCCGTGCCACTGGCCTCTCATGGCAGAGTGAGGCCGGGCAACCTGCTGCTTCCAGCCCCGTGAGCTTGAGCAAGTCACTGAGCTCTGGGCCTCAGTTTCCTCAACTGTAGAATGTGCTAAAGACAGGGTTTTGTACGCTTTGAGTAATGGGATCGTATGTGTCAAGTGTGCGGCACATAGTGCTTAATACATAGTAGCTAGAGTTATTATTAGCACACCAGCGTGGACATCCAGAGGTCACCAAAAATGTTCTGTTGCAATCATTATAAAACTGGGCAAGAACCTGGAGGCCGGTGAGTCCGAACAGTCCTTTTTGAAGAAACCAGTCCCTCCAGAGTGCCATAGTGAGTGTCAGAGCCCCCTCTGGAACTGCATCCGCTGGGACAATCAGAGGGAAATGGAAGATCGGGAGGCTCAGGGGCGCCCTCTGCTGTCTCCCCAGAGTCCGTCCCCTTCCGCCAGAGCCTCTGCTCCCCCATTTTCCTGTGGAGCCTCCTCACCATGGGCATGACCCAGTTGCGGGTCATCTTCTACATGGCCGCCATGAACAAGATGCTGGAGTACCTCGTGACTGGGGGCCAGGAGCATGGTGAGGTGCTGCTGAGCCCACTGGGGGGCCGGGGGCACGGGAGGGTCACCCTGCTGAGCTCCCGTCACTCTGGCTTCTCTCCCCACCCCCCATCAGAGACGGACATCCTGAGAAAAAGGGCGGCAGAGACAGGTAAGGGGATGAGGCCCTGGCCCACACCCGTCCCACCGCTGCCTGCTCCAGAGGGAGCCTGGGCCCACCCTCGGAGCTCTGGGCATTCGGGGCATCGAAGAATCTGGGGGCGGGGGGAGGCTCTTCTGGCACCCCCTGTCCTGCCCCGGAAGTGGGCTGCTGGCATCCGTCATGCCATCTCCTGACTCCACTTCTCCTCCCGTCCTGCCCAGTGGGGTTCTACTCCTCCATCTTTGGGGCCATGCAGCTCTTGTGCCTCCTCACCTGCCCGCTCATCGGCTACATCATGGACTGGCGGATCAAGGACTGTGTGGACGCCCCCAGTGACGGCACTGCCCTCGGAAACGCCAGGTGACCGGCACAGGGGTGACCACAGCTTGGCACTTTCTCTGCGCTTTCACAGCCAGCATCTCATTTCATTCTGTCCAGAGCCCAGGGAGAACAGGAGCCTCTCCCCATTTTACAGAGGAGGAAACTTAAGGGGGGGGGCACGGCTTGCTCGATAATAAGTGTAGCCCACCTCAGGTGCTGACTGAGCACGAGGTACCTCGCGTTGTCCTGTTGAGTCCTGCAACAGCTCTCTGAGGGAGGTGTGGTGTCCTCATTTCACAGATGAGGACGCTGAGACACAGAAAGGTTAAGTAACTTACCCAAGATCACACAGCTTTTATTTATTTTATTTTAAAGATTTTATTTATTGGAGTGCCTGGGTGGTCCAGTTGGTTAAGCGTCTGACTCTTGGTTTTGGCTCAGGTTGTGATCTCAGGGTGCTGGGATCAAGCCCTGGGCCTCCCTGCTCAGTGGGGAGTCTGCTTCTCCCTCCCCCTCTGCCCTTCCCCCCACTTGTGTGCCTGTGTGTGTGCACTCTCTCAAATAAATAAATAAAATATTTTTTTAAGGGATTTTATTTATTTACTTGAGAGAGAGAGGGCCCAAGCAGAGGGAGGGACAGAGAGAGAGAATCTCAAGCAGATTCAAGTATGGAGCCCAACACGGGGCTCAATCCCAGGACCCAAAGATGGTGACCTGAGCGGAAACCAAGAGTCAGCCGTTTAACCGACTGAACCACCCAGGTGCCCCCATCACACAGCTTTTAGTAGCAGGTTGTAGAACCTATGTTATAAAGGGTATACCCTAAAGCCTTCTTTAAACAGCTAACATTTATTGTCTCATATAGTTTCTGAGTCAGGAATCTGGGAATGACTTAGCTGGGTGGTTCTGGCTCAGTGTCTGTCTGAGTCTGTTTGAGCTGGTATAACAAAACACCACCAACACACTGGGTAGCTTAAAAACAATAGAAAGTTAGTTCTCACGGTTCTAGAAGCTGCAAGTCTCAGATCAGGGAGCCAGTGGTTGAGTGAGGGCCCTCTTCTGGGTAGCAGACTTCTCCCTGTGTCCTCACATGGCCTAAGGAAAAGAGAGCTCTGTGGGTCCTCCTTTATAAGGGCACTAATCCCATGAGGAGGGCTCTGCCCTCGTGACCTAATCACCCTGCAGAGCCCCACCTCCTAATACCATCATGTTGGGCATTAGGATTTTCAGCATATGAATTTCGGGGGCACACAGCCATTCGGACCATAGCAGGGTCTCATGAGGCTACAGTCTGGCTGTTGGCCAAGGCTACAGCTATCTGGGGTGTTGACCAGGGTGGGAGAATCCATTACTGAGCTTCCTCACGTGGCTGTTGGCAGAAGAGGCGGCTCCTGTCCACTTGGGTCCCTCCAAAGGGCTGCTCACCACAGGGCAGCTGGCTTCCCCCAGAGCCGGGGGTCTAAGGGAGGGAGACCAAGATGGAAGCCTCTGTGTCCTTCAGTGAAATCTCATGAGTGACATACCATCGCTTCCGTAGTGTTCTGTCGGTCACAGAGAATAACCGGTCTGGTGTGGGAGGGGACGACACAGGGCATGGCTGGCTGGAGGTGGGGCTCACTGAGGCCCATCTTGTTGGCTGGAGACCACTGTTGGGTCTTGAACTGGGGTTTTCTGACTGCGTGTGTTGTTTTTGTGTTTGTCCTGAGAGGATAGGAGGGAAGGCATCTTAAGGAACAATCCAGTGGCTTCCCTCCCCAGCATTGGTGCCCCAGCCCCGGCTCCCAGCCTCCTGAAGTCAGGGCCATCTGTTGAGGATAGATGGGCAGCCTGCTCTCATCTCGGCCTACGGACCTCTCCCCTCTGGGGCGGCCCTCAGAGCCCTTGATTGTGCCAGAGCGGGGCTTGCTGGACAGTCAGGGGCCAAGCTGCTGTCCCCAGAGCAGCATCTGCTTTTGTCCGGGCTGACGGGCAGAGACGCTTTTGTAGGGGCTTCCGGTGGGAGGTGGTGTGAGGGCTCCCAGTTCTCCACCTTCCTTCGCATCCTTGAGCCTCAGACTTCAGTGTGCGTGAGACATACCTGGGCTGTTTGCCCAAATGCAGATTCCTGGGCCCCACTCCTGAGATTCTGGGGGTGGGAGCCTGGAATCTGCATTTTAAAGAAAGGCCCCAGGTGATACTGGGGTCCTAGGTGGGGGAGCCACATTTCGAGAAACACAGGGCTGGAGAAATGGCCTGCTCCCTTGGCTGCCCCCACGGCCAAGGCACAGCAGAAGAGGGGAGGCCAGCCCGAGAACCAGGGAGCTGCTGGGGAGGTGGAGGCAGCGGCCAGTGACACCCTGTTCTCCTCAGGGATGGGGTTGCCACCAAGTCTGCCAGACCCCGCTACCGCAAGATCCAGAAGCTCACCAATGCCATCAATGCCTTCACCCTGACCAACTTTCTGCTGGTGGGGTTTGGCATCACCTGCCTCATCAATAGCTTACACCTCCAGGTACCCACTTCCATCCTCCCCGCCTCCTTGCCTCCCAGGACCCTTCCAGAGGGACATTTCACCCGGCGCCTTGCCTTCCAGGAAGCATGGTTCTCATCCTCTGGGTCTGTTTTCCGGGGGCTGGGTTGTCAGGGGCTCAGTGTCCCTCTTCACCTTACCCATCCTTTCTCCTGCCTCCACACGTGGCTCTTCACCTCTTCCCCCTCTCTTTCTGGTTTCAGTTTGTGACCTTCGTCCTGCACACCATGGTTCGAGGTTTCTACCACTCAGCCTGTGGCAGCCTCTATGCAGCAGTGTGAGTCAGCCCGCGCTGACCTGCCTTCCGGAGCCTTCCCTCCATAACCAGAGAACCCTGGAGCAGAGTTGAAAGGGCCCCGGATACCCCTTCACGCCCTCCCTGCGCTCCACTGCCCCCCTGGAGTGCTGACTGACATCTCAGTCAGCGGGGAGCTGGGAGGCTGTCTGGGGGGGGGCCGCCCTCTCGGAGCTTCCCTGGTGGTGGGCCCCCCGCCCCTATCAAAGGCAGCCTGCCCCACCGCCAGCCGACTCCAGTGCCAGGAGGTCCTGCCTTAGAGGAAGCTGAAATTCTTGGTTTGGTGACACTTTGGTCCTACGTCTGCTCCCCCCCCACCCCAAGACAGCCCTGCAGAAATTTCCAGACCGCAGTCTTGCCTGCCTTATCACTCTCCCGCTCCATCTGGGGCAGCCCGCAGTTCCCTTTCCCTCGCCCTTCTGGTTTCCACCGCCGGCGCTGCTTAGTGACTCCGGTGTGTGTGGTGACAGAGTGGTCACCATTCTCAGGTGCTTCCTCCAGGCGGCGCAGCGCAGGGCCCCTGACCAGTGTCAGCAGAGGGCAGCCCTGTGTCCTTCACCTGCTCCAGCCAGAGCCTCGGAGTCACCCTTGATTCTGCCCCTCCTCACACTCCACGTCCAGTCCCCAGCAGTCCGCCAGTTCCCTGTCCACAGACCCCAAATGCAACCCTCTCCTCGTCCCCACCGCCACCCCCCTGCCCCGGCCGAGTGCCACAGCTCCCGGCGGGCTCCCCAAGCCTGCCCTCGCCTCCCTTGGTCTATTTTTAACGCGGGCTGGAGACACCTGTTGGGACATAAGTCTTTTCCTGTCACTCCATGGCTTCCTGCTACACTCTCAGAAAAAGCCAGAGGCTTTGTTATGGCTGAACAGGCCCCCCTATTGACAGGTTCCCCTCCAACCACTTCGGGACGCTGACGGGCCTGCAGTCCCTCATCAGTGCTGTGTTCGCCCTGCTCCAGCAGCCGCTTTTCATGGCCATGGTGGGACCCTTGAAAGGAGAGCCCTTCTGGGTGAGAACTGGGGGTGGCACGCGGGGAACAGGACCCCCTTTCCAGGGGTTCTGAGGAGTTGGGGCTGGGAGGGGGGGCTTGTATCTGATAGAATCCCTGACTTCTATCTCCGACTGAAGGTCTCTAATCGGGGGCTTCCCAAGCTGGCTACCCATCACAACCCCCCACAGAGTGAAAAATAGATTCCCCAGCCTGCCGACTCAGTGCCTCTTGCTCTGGGCCCAGGAGTGTCTCTGGAAGAAGCTCCAGGTGCCTGGTGAAGTGGCCCAGTTCTGATGCCATCTGGTTTCACCCAGGGCACGGATGCTCTCTCTCTCTTAGCGCCTCTGGAAAGGGGTTCCTCCAAACCCTCTCAGCTCAAACACCCTCGAGACGGGGCAGCAGCCTTGGGTATGGTTAGAAGGGTTTTTCCTTCCACCGACCACACGTCTGCCTCCCCAAAGCTGGTCCTCACTCCGCCCTGTGGGGCCACCTGTCCCGTAACCCTTCTCCCAGCAGAACGATCAAGAAAGGACAGTCACGGTTTATGGGGTGCTCACGACGTGCTGAGGTCATCTTTGCCCTGACGAGGCACTTAGAGTCAAGGCAATTTGCCCAAGTCACACAGCGAGTCATGCAGAGCGGGATGTGAGCCGAGGCCGCTGTCCTGGGCCTTCCGTCCCCCAGCTGCGTGCCTGGGCTCCTTTCACCATCTGCCAACCTCTTCTCCCCAACCTCAGTGGGATCAGTGAGATCCTGTCGTCAATGTCCCCAGCCCAAAAGGTTCCATTTCAGAAGGTGCCCTGGACTGGGCACTAGCCCAGACTCCCCCAGTATCTCCCCAGAGGGCACCAGCTCGTGTGGCCACCGGCCTTAGGGTTCAGACCACACTCTGATACTTTACATGAGGCTGTTGAACATTAGGTGAAATATTGCTGAAATGGTGATTGAACACGGTACATGCTAGCCATATTACTCATTCTGGCCCAGGACCTGGAGTGAAAATGGCTGCCTCCTCCTCTCTGTTGGAAGCTGAGGAGGGTCCTTGAGGGTGAAGAGGGAAAACCGGTACCTACTTGACTCCTGTCTCTCTCTCCTTGCCCTCAAGGTGAATCTGGGCCTCCTGCTCTTCTCACTCCTGGGCTTCCTGCTACCTTCCTACCTCTTCTACCACCGTGCCCGACTCCAGAGGGAGGATGCCACCTACTGGGAAGGCCCAAAGAAGGTGCTTGGCAGCTCTGAGGTGACCGCGTAGACCTCTTAAGGCCAAGGGACCTGGATGACAGGCAGCCAAGGCCTGAGCAACCAAAGGGAATGCCTCATGGGGCTTTTCTACCTGTAACATACACACAGAGCTGGGCCATGGATTTATAAATACCAAGAGAAGTTCTATTTTTGTAGGGACTTGCTAAAAGGGAGAAAAAAAAAACACCTAAAAAAAAATTTCCCCAAAGCAATGCTCCATTGACTGAAGACAGCCCCTGTGCTAGGATTGGGCCTTCTTCCTTCTCAGATTGGTGGATACCAGTGTGTGGGGCTGCCCTTTCTCTAGGCCTGCATCCTAGGGGCCTGCCTCCTTGTGCCCCCTGGGGGCTTGTGGGATCAACAGGCAAACAGGCTACCCCTAGGGTTCCAGCTAGGCAATGCCCAGAGCCTGCGTGTGTTATATGCTCACGTGTGTAGATGTGTGTATGAAACAACCTTCCCCTCAGAAAGGGGCCTGAGGTGCTTGCTGTGTCTTGGATGGAGTGGGGGTGGGGGGGGATAAGCCCCTTCCAGGGGCCGGAGGGCGGGTTCCCTCCGTGGTACTGCTTTTTGCAGGTCTTAGAGAAAAATAAAAAGGGAAGTGAGAGACTGGCTGGTGTGTGCCTGTATCTTTGGGCATTAAGTAGGACACCTGAAGTGTCAGCCTGTCCACCTCTGGCTGTCTGGCTCATCTTCCGGTTCTTAACCAGCCCTGCCCTTGGTGTCCGGAGGGAGTCCACATCCTCCCTCTGCTCATACCGTCCACTTCCCATGGTTTGAGGTGCATCCAGGAAGTTGCCTTTCTCTGTACGTGGGATCAGGGCAGGATGCTTTAGAAATAATGCTGAGGGATGGTGGAGGTTTGTTGAAATGTACACTTTTTTATAGACTCTTGTTTTATCTTAAAACCTCATGCAAATTTGGAGCTTCACTTTATACTATATTTATACTTATTTTTAACATCGAAGTGAGGCTTTAAAGTTACATAGGTATAGACACCATCTTTGAGAACAAGGGGCCCTCCAAGAAGATGTATTTTATTTTCCCCAGGCCTACACTTCTTCGTGTCCCTGGGACATAAACCTTAGAGGCTAGAGTAAGTCACAGAATGGAGGGATGGGGCCCAGAGGGCCACTGACATTTGTTGGGGATCTGCGTGTGCTTCACAAGTATCTCATTTCATCCTAACCACGGCCCAAGAGGTTGGTATGTTCACAATGTTTTGTAGGTTGAGGAAAGCCCAGGCAGGTTAAGGCACAAGACTAGTTGGTAGGTGGTAGAGCTGAGCTCAACTCTGACTGCTGAGTCCTGACCACAGGGCTACCAGGGCAGTCAGGAGCAGAAAGGAGGTCCCAAGCTTCTCAGGCCAGCTCAGCTGTCCTCTCAGGGCTGAGAGTGACCTCAAAGGCCCTAGTCACAACCCCCCTCTCCAGGGGAAAAAAAAAACCAACTTTGGAGAACCCACAAATGTTAGTGCTGAAGACAGTATTACAGACAAAACTGCCCCTTTGTCTTAAACTCTCTTTAGAAGTTAATGAAACAGACTGATCCACCCATTTCATGGATGAGAAAACATGTCCAGAGGGGTCTGGAGGCTTGACAAAGTCACATAGACTCCTGGCTGCTCTGAGCCCAGACTCCTGGCTTTCAACACAGTTTCCTTTTTGCAAAATACCAAACCAGAATTGGACAGCACCCACTAAGGAGTTGGGTGGGTTCCCGGAGGGCCTGCCTGGGTCTCACTGTGCTCACCGTCCCGGACCTTGACCTTCCGAGTAATCTGGTGGGGAGTTTGATCACGAGCGACGGATCCCACCGGGCCGGGTTGGGTTAGGGTTAGGGTTAGGGTTAGGGTTAGGGTTAGGGTTAGGGTTAGGGTTAGGGCTAGCAGAGGAAGCAAGGCGGGCGCGCCGGGTGCTGGGTGTGCCCAGCAGGCGGCGCTGCGGGGCTGCGTCTGGGATGGGGTGGGGGTGGGGAAAGGGGGCTGAGAACCAAAAGGGAACCCCCTCCCCCCCGCCACACACGCACACCCCTTCACGCACACAGCCTCCCCGCTAGCGGGTCCTTCCTGGGCCTCGACCCCCAGACTCCTCCCCTGGCTTGCGCTGCACTCTTTGGACCACTTACGCCTTCACGACCCCCACCCTTTCAAGAGTTATCTGCCCCCGCACCGACCCTCGGACGGCGGGAGGGGCTGGACGCTGGCCCCTGCCCAGCTGGGGGCTTCGGACGGGGTGGGAGTTGCCGCCAGAAATCTCGGCCTCCCGGGGGACGGTGGAGAGCTTGGGGAGGGGGCTGGGCAGGGGCGGAAGCGAGCTAGAGCCGTGTTTGTCGCGGCGCTGCCGAGTGGAACAGATGGCTGGGGAGGGGAGAGGGTACGTGGCGGGGGGATTGGGGGGAGGAGGGGTGCGGGGGCCGGAGGATGAGGAACGAGGAATTTCGACGCCCCGAGTGTCCCAGGAGAAACCCCCCTCCCCATCTCTTCCCTGCAAGAGTGGGGGCCAGCGCCGGCCTTTCTTCCAGAGAGCCCGGCCTCTGGCCTGCCGCGGCTCCCGCCGCGCAGCCGGCCGCCCCAGGGCGCGCCCCTCGCCCCTGGGTCCGCCCACCTGCGCGGTCCCGGCCGGCTGGGTCAAGGCCGCCGCGAGCCGCCCGGGGCGCTAGGGTTAATGGGGCCGCACCCCGAGGGGCGAGGGGGCGGCGGGAAGCCGCCTCCCGAGCTGGGAGCGAGTTCAGGGATCGTAAATAGCTGAGGGAAAACGTGTTAATTGGAACTTTATGCAGATGAGCTGGGACCGGGGGCTGGGGGTGGAGGGAGGGAGAAGGTCACGCGGGTGCGGGACCCGAGCGCGGTTCTGAGGGCAGGGGAGGAGGGCTCTGGCCCGTCAGGGATAGGTGAGTGTCCTGACGTCTGGGCGTTGGCCTCCGGGGAGGGCCGCGGGTCCCTGCAAGCGAGCCTTCGTCCCTGACCCGCCCCCCCCCCCCGCCCCAGAAACCGAGACGACTCTTCCAGCGTGTCCGCATCCCGCGTCCAAAAGTCCAGGGTCTCAAATCGCCGCGAGGGTGGGGGACACCTTGCAAGCGTCTGTTTCCGCTAGTGGCTGCTTACCTCGGGTCTCACTTCGGCTGTGTCCCCGCCCCCATCGGTCTCCGCGTCCTCCCTCCTTTATTCCCGATCCACGGCATCACCCTCCCGGCGCTGGAGTGTCGTCTGTTACTTTCACCAAGTGTGCCTGCGGTGGGGGTGGGGGTGAATCTAACTTTTCTCCCTTTGCTTTCCCCAGTCTGCCCCCCCTTCCCTGACGCACCCCACCTTTGGGATGTTTCTCAGCCTTTAGAGTGCTTGGTAACCAACCCCCGCTTGTCTAAAATGAGTTCCAGGGTCCCTCCATGATCTAATTCAGCAGGGCTGAGGGGCTCAGGAATCTGCATTTTAGCAACTTCCAACCTAAATCAGATGTAAAAGACCCCTGTTCTTAAAAACCACTGGCAGGGAATTGGTGGGCAGGAAAGACTGGGCAAGCCTCCTTCGACAGCACCCCCTTCCCCCTGCCAACCCTGCCTCCATGCTCCTGACCTCACCTCTGCTCAGAAGGCTTCTGGTGTGATTGGACCAGGTGTGGAGAAGGTGCCAGGAAGGAGGGAAGGAAGAAGAAAGGGAGAAAAGGAAAGAAATGAGCCTGCACCTAGCTCTTCTCTCTCTGAGTAGGGTCTTCCCCTTCCAGGCAGCTGCCTGCTTCCCTCCCCTTCGCCTCAGCTGGACCATCTTCTTCTCTTACACCACCAGCCTGGCCTCAGCTTCTCACTTCCTTTACCCCTCTTCAGCTGAAGTTTCTAGAAAGGCCAAAGGATCTTAGGGGGGAATGGCAGAGCAGACCAAAGCCCCCACCTCCAAAAGAAAGGGGCAAGGGGCACCCCTGGGGTTGGAAGGAAGAAGGGGAGGGAAGCTGGACTTGAGGGAAGATAATAATAACAGCAAATATGTAGGTCACCTTTCCACGGGGTTATTGTGCTTACTCCCCACAGCAAGTCGATTTAAGCAGGTGCTATCCCCAGGTCACAAATGGAAAAAACAAAACAGACATTCAGAGGGGTTAAGTAACTTGCTGAAGGTCACACAGTAAGTGGAAGAATAACTAGGTCATTCACCTTCCACTTCCCCAAAAGCATTTCTCCAGAGGCCACTGGTAGCTGTCCCAGGCCTGTCCTCCCTGCCCTACCCCCAGGGGCAGTGGGGATTGGGGAAGGGCACGGTGTACAGAAATGAAAAGAGATGCTCAGGTTTCGGAACATCTGACAGGTCTGGCTGGAAGCATTAAAAATTCATGTAGAAACCTGACCCCAGCCGGACCTTGGGTCTGCCACCTGGACTGTCCCTGGCCTGTGGCCTCTCAGAGCCTGGTGGGCGAATTTCCCTTCAGCAGTGGCCCGGAAGCCCCTAGTCTTTGTAGCTCAGAGGAGAGGGGTTCTCTTAGGGATTAGGGGTCTGAAGTCAGGTGCCAGCAGTTCCAAAAGCAGGGCTGAGAGGCCCTCCCCGCTACTCTGAGTGTAAGAACCTTAGAGGCTTAAGGGCTTATAAACCCCATCATCTGGCGTCCTTCTCCTGTTCCGCTCCCCAGGCGGGTGGATGGATGCTCACGCTGTTTACGCTGACTGGAGCCTGGCTGTGATTCCCAAGGTGGCCAGTGGGGGGCAGCCATCTGCCTGGAGGTAGCCTGAGCCTGAGCCTGAGCCTTTACTGCCGCTTTGAAGGACAGTCAAAGAACCCCCACTGATAACGTCAAAGAGGTGCAGACTGGGCCTCGGGGAAGGGGTCTGGAGTCTGTCATCTGAGGAGAAGGGGAGAGGCTTCCCAGTTCGGGGGAGATCGAGGAACTTTAGGGAGAGTTCAAAGTAGGTTTGTGGGTTGCAAGTGCATGGTAACTGACGACAAGCATGATGGAATCATTCTAGCTGGAGTGAAGATTTGGGGCAAGGCCATGAGAGAAAAGGCTAGAAAGGCAGTTGGTAACCGGCTCTGAGGGATTTTGATGGTCTGCTAAGGCATTTCATCTTTAACCTGTAGGCAGTAAGGAGGCATTGTAGGTTTCTGAGGGACAGAAAAACACAATGCAAATTTTGGTCCGCTGAATCTGGCCACCATGGGCAGTGGGTGGGAGGGAGAGAGACTGAAGGTAGGAAAACCAGAGAGCTGGGTACTGCTATTTTCTCCTCTATTCTAGGCATGAGGTAATGAGGAGATGGAGCAGGGAGGTGGTAGGGGGAATGGAAAGGGAGGGATGGGTAGGGCCGGGAGGGGACTGGG